ATCAATCCCCACCTTTCTTTTGTGATATTGAACCTTATGGTAAAATTTCATTGAGATCCATTCACTTAAACTAAAGTTAGAGTTCGAAAACTAATGTGTCTTCGGACGACGACGACGACGACGACTCCAACGTCATACCAATATACGACCACAAAAAATGTTTTGCGCTCATATAAAAAAGGGATAAAACTTTTAAGAAATTATATAACTATATCATATATACTTTATCCCAAATTATAAAAAAAAAAGGTTTATTTCAAAAAGTTATAAAAAAAATTAAAGATACCTATCTGAATTTAATCTTCTTTTTTTTTACCTACTAATTGAATTCTTTCATTTCACAGCAATGAATCAAACTAACAAATAAACTGGAATGTTGTAAGATCTATATTTAATCTAGTTAGATGGGCTGATTTATACCAGTAAAGACTAAATTTGAAGGTCCAGACTAGTCGAGACAGGTCGAGACTGTTTAAGACTGAGTCAAGACTAGTCAAGACAGGTCGAGACTGGTTGAGACAGGTCGAGACTAGTCGATCCTTGGTCGAGACCATTTCAGACTACACCAAGATCATCAAGTACTGAATCAGACTAATTAAGTAAATTCGAGACCTAGTCCAGTACAATTAAGTACAGTTAAGTACTGTAGAGACTAGTCGAGTAAAATGTGTGCTCGACTTTACTGGTCAAGCACAAAAACTGGTCTTTTCAGACTCGGATCATTTTGAAGTGTATGTTCTTTTAACATATGTGACATATGTGCATTCAGTTGAACATCCGAAATTATATAGTTAGTGTTGTCTACGATGCATGCTAAATTGATGAAAATACAAATTCAGGTTCAATCTATGTTTGCTTCCGTTCAAGAGTGATACGAATCATGTGAATAAATGTAGATGAATACATAATTAAAAAGATAATAGTTAGAAAAAGATGATGTATGTATATGAAGTCAAATGATTTCCGCATTTGTTTTTTTTTTTTTTTTTTTTAATCTTATTTCGATGTAAAGTGTAAATATATCAATTTTATATAATGACAAGAGTCGGCTAGTAGTTTTTTTTTTAATTTTTATAATTATTATCATACACATTGCTCGTTGATTATATCCGTTTGGAGATTATAACAATAGTGAATTACCATATAAATACACGAAGAAATAACTGGCATTCACCTTTTTATTTAATGATTTACATTATATCTTCTGAATTTTTGAAAACAATTATTTTCCAAAAGTTAATGATCAACTTAATTTTGTCTCATTAATTTTAACCTCACCTGTAAAGTATAATCCCTTTCTTTTTTTAATATTTCGTTTGTAAACTACTTCGTTTTTTTAATTTATTAATTCTTTGATAGGGCAAATATTTCATCATTAAGTAAATGTACGGGATATCGAGAATTTCTAACAGAAACAGGACAAGACACAAATATTTTTGAGCAAAATAAGACATGAGTTTTGTCACCAAGTTACCAAAAATGATAAACAGGACATTTTAGGGTAAATATAGATCAATCGATTGGTTAGAAGTTCACAGTTTGTTGGGATGTAAAAGTATGCACCCTTTAAAATTCCTATTCGTCATTCAGACATGTACCTTAGGAAGCACATACAAATACACGCATATATATGATAAGGCGTCTGCGCAATGCTAGGAAGTGTTTTTGTAGAAGTGAGAAGTGTAAAGTACAGGTTACAGCCCCGCTCGGGCAGAGGAATTTGAAGTTAGCAGCCGGTTCGTTATCTGTTATTCGATATTCAATATCCAACCGGCTGCTAGCAGTCCGTTCGATATTCAAATTTTTTAGTTGAAAATAAGAAAAATTAAAATATTCGATAACATTCAAAGCATGATAGTCATAGTTAAAAAGAGTAAACAGATACGTAGGAAATAATTTTAATCGTTTTAACACCCCTTCAAGCGGTAGTAAATATTCGTTGACATCAGATATAAACCCTCAAATATAAAAAAAAAACTATCACTCTAGTAACATTTAAAAAAAAAGAAAGAAATAATTGTGAAAGACAAAAATAAAAGATATTGTCCCTTTTCAGCTAAAAATCGTCAAATATTCAGGTAGAATGACTCAGGGCGATGGCTAAATCTCCATGATCTCTTAATCTTCATAATATGATGCAGATAATAGGTCAATATAAAGATACAAATGACACTAAAAGTAATTTGGGTTAACTTCTTGTGTTCTATGTTTACGGAGGGCTCAAAAAGCTACTTTGATATTCAAAATATATAGTGAAAACCAAGCGAACCCGACTTAAATGACGTCGAGACCCCATGATCTTCGAATGTCCATAAAGTTCAATGATCTTTTAGACTATATATATACAGATCGCATCAAAAGAATTTCCAAGAATAAAGTCATCTTCGATATCTACGGAGAGTTTAAATTGTCTCTGGTAGATTTTCACTATATAATTTGAATATCAAACTGGCACTTTGAACCTCCGTAAACACAGATGACGTAAACTTTACCAAAATAACTTTTGATGCCATTTGTATCGATATATTAACTAACAATATGCATAATATTATGAAGTTTGAGAGATCGGGAAGGTCTAGCCAACACCATGGGCCCTTAATATTGAGTTTTTGACGTATTTTTTTGGAAAGTGACACTTTAAGCTCTCCATAGATATCGAATATGCCATTTTTCTGGGAGTTACTTTTGACAGGATCTGTATATTTACATAGTGTAAAAGATCATAAATTTTATGGACATGGAAAAACTAAGGGGGTGCCACTGTATTTTCAGCGGTCGCTGGTAGGTTTTCACTATATATTTCGTATATTAAACTGGCACTTTGGGCCCTCTGTAAATATAGAATACGAGAACTTTAACTTAACCTTAATTACTTTTGATGACATTTGTATCTATACATTAACTAACTATATGCATAATATTATGAAGATTGCATTAGTGATCATTAAGATCCAGTCAACGCCTAGGGCCTTTAGATCTGTATATATGTTGAATATGAAGTCAATCGAAAGTATCTCTTATTCAGCTTTCCATAGTTGTTTCGTTTAATATTTTCAAATCTACCTAAAGTGGCCGTTTTTTTTTTTCTTTTTTTTTTTTGAAAAATCATCTTTTCAATGTTAATCTTTGATTGCATTTAATTGATAAAAATCTATGTTTCATAAAAATAAATGTTCGATTCACAGAAGGGTTTATATATGAGGACAACGAGAATTTACGAAAACTTACCTATATCTCTGTTTACACATTTTAACTAATACTATCAACATTTAATGCTATTCAAAGTTAAATTTTTATTACTTTCAACTCAGAAAATTGGAATATCGAATAACGAATAACGAACCGGCCGCTAAATTCACATACATCTCGGGTGGAAGTAAAGAATAAGATCTACTATGAAATTGTTAGGTTGATTTTCTTTACACTTTATAAATATTCTAACGCATGGTGTTTCATAAGAAATCCAATGGACATGGTATAATTCACAGTGGTCACTACACAAAAGGAGATATATATATGCCTATATGAATGTAACTTTAACACGCTGAGTGTAATGAAAAAAAAATTGTAATATCTTATATATTCACGCAATATTTGCTAATCAAATTCGCTTCATCATGGGCGAGCAGCTATCCAGGTAAATTCGGATGCTGTTAAGACATTTTTGCAGCTTATCATACATGTCCTTTAAATATATTTTTGCAGGTTATTGTACATTTTATTCAGTGGATCATAACACAATTTCTACTAGTTGAATAGTATGGAGATCGAGATTTAATCCTTTTGATTTTGATTAAACTTCAAAAAGGAGGGACAAACCTGCCTTGTAAATGAGCCCACTCTGATTTAAACAAAAAATCACTGATAAAGAAATTTCTTGATTTCTTACATATTTGTTATTGTTTGGAGGACCTTTATTCAAAAAAACAATTGATATTCCCATAGAATGCAGACAACACCTTGAAAACAATGAAAAGAAGCTAACTTCATACTTCCAATAAAGTAATCACCCTTCAATAAATAATTCAATGTTTGGTAAGTATGTTGAACGCAAATATCTAATTGAACAAGTAATAAGGTATACAATGGATACATATTTGTCTGTCTCATATTGACTTACATCTAGAAATTGACCATATTCGTGTTGTAAACATTATCAATGTGAGAACAGACATATATATATATATATATATAGAGAGAGAGAGAGAGAGAGAGAGAGAGAGAGAGAGAGAGAGAGAGAGAGAGAGAGAGAGAGAGAGAGAGAGAGAGAGAGAGAGAGAAATGATAAGTGGTATGAATGCCAATGAGACGAATATCCAAACGAATTCAATGACGAAGATAAAAGTAGATATAGGTCACCGTAAACCAACGACAACCATGCATTTACACGCTCTTGACGTGGGGCAGACATATAAAGATTGTGTTAAACATGTTCGTAAGCCCTCAACCCCCTAACTGTGTACAGTGGTGTTACAGCACTTAAGAAGAACAAACTGTAAAAATCAGTAACAAATGGCTTTACTCAATAGGCCGGAACGAAGCACAAACAACCCAACTAACATAAAAACAATAGATACACAGTATTGGTATAAGAGTGCTCGCGGTTACTGAAAGCTAGTTCAAAGCCAGTTACAACTTACACATAAATCATGTTTCCCAGACAAAAGTATCAAGCAGTACAATGTCGGACTGAGACGTGAATCCTTAATATTTCATTTGCTTTTTTTCTTTATGATAATTTTGTTATCGTTCTATCAATGGAAAACATAACAATTTTCAAATGTTACTACTGTGATGAGGAGTATGATCAAGCGTATGTTATACTTGGGTCACACATCAATAAAACACCATGATAGTTTTATTTCCATCACTAAGCAGTACTTTAAAATATGAAAATACAGATCTCTATCTCTATTATTTCATATTCCATTCACCATTTACTTTAAAATTTATTGTCTATCGGAAATAGTACAGGGGCGAACTGTTTTTTTTTTGGGGGGGGGAGGGGGGGGGGGGGATGGAGGGGAACTTGTTGGTTCCAGGCCTCTCTTCGTAGAATATTTATGGTATATTGCATTTAACTTCTGTCCCTTCCTTTTCTTAACTTTATTTTTAAAACTGCAGGTTTCGTAACTTTGATATATATATAAATCCCAAACTATTATTTTAAACTGAGAAAAAAGTGTGGCATTAAATGACATTGTGAAAATTATTTATCCCTGGTCTCGGTTCTAAAGTCAGGTTTACAAAAAATCCAGTTATGTCTTATATATAGTAATACTGCAAGATTATGGTTTAATGTTTTCAGAACAGAAAATTGTATTAAACTGAAAAGTTAAATTTGATCAACATAGTCCATTTTAGCTATTGGAAAAATAAAACGATGTATATTATTGCCTTTCGCTAAATTACAGTTACAAACTAGAAAAAGTTCGTTTTTAAACCCAAGATATAATGCCTTCTTTCTTATTCAAATTCTTTTTGAAAAACCAAGACCATTTGTTAAAAAACCGTTAGTTTTAAATGTTGCTCTCAAAAATACACTGAATTATTAATGAACGACAAGAAAACTGTGAGTCGTTTGTGCTTATAACATGTTAAATATTCAGAATAAGATGAAAAGTCATGTAAACCTACCGTGATTAAGCTGATTGGGCAAATAAAAATAACATATAGGATAAAAAGCATGTCAGCTTATCAGCATAAAATATGATTTAAATGTATTTTCTACAAACCAGAATCAAAAGGTAATGATATGCACGTTCTTTGATATCGATGAAATGTAAATAAAGACACCTTTATCTTTTCATTAGATAGCTGAAAAACCGATATGCATTAGTTGATATTATTGATCTAAAAATATATTACATATTGAATGCCAGTATATGCAAGAACCATGTAATTGTGACGAATTTCAAAACATGACTGCAACAACCCAACAGACCCAACCATAATGTTATGAAGATATTCTCATCCTCAGTTAGAAATAGTACTTCTTTTTTTACTGCGTGTCCGATAATTTGAGAAATATCTAGAGGTTAGAATGATATCAAATTACGGAGTAAGCTCCCCTTAATTGCTAATTTCTAGTGCATTTCAACCAACTTATATCTTGAAATACCAGAAAAAAACAATGAAAAGAATGTTATATTCGTGCACAATTATACATTCTGATCTTCAATTAATGTCACTTGAGCGGGTTTTTGTTTGTCATGTTTTCACCAACTTTGTTTCCTGATTCTATAGGCAGTGTGGCACTTAATATGTGCTTCACAAAAACAAACAAAATTATGACGTAATCAGAACCGATTAAAAATAGTTTAAATGACGATGAATTTTTTAAAATGTCCGTAGGTGAATCCTTTAAGCATGAATGAAAGACACACACTCAAAATAAGTCAACATATGAAATCAGGTAACAAAAAACTTGAAATTTATATAGATTAAAGAAACCGTAGGGTATTTGTCAATGAGACTTCAATCTAAAGCCAATTTTAATCATTAATAATGAAAATAATATAATTATTTAAAAAGTAATTCATTTAGATTAAACCAATGATCATATTTCTCTCGGAACATAATATTATTTACATAGTTAAAACAAAATCAATCTCCCAATACATAATGATAGATAATATATATATAACATGTATAATATTAAAGGACTTCTAACAAAAATGTATTAATTCCGTGTTTTATATAAGAACAATCAAACTATCATATAAAAGTCGAGTATTGCCTGATTGTTTGCTATTTCATGGCAAAATTAGATTTGATAAGCATTTCGGTGCAACTTTATGTTTTTACTAAGTAATGATTCGTGGTAAAGTGTTCTTCTATTAACTGAAATACTTCCAGATTCCGTATCTTCCTCAATAGACAGGTTTCGAATACCGTGTTTGTTAAGAATTATTCATGCTAATTATTTTAGAAAACAGTCAATTAAAAATTGCTGAAAAACAGCAATACAATTTTGGAATAAAATAAGCATTGTTAAATAAAATTTGTACATCATGATTCAAGTATTTCCTAATTCTGTTCAGTGACGCTTATGACGAATTAAGATTTTTGATAACATAGTTGATGTGATCAGACCAGGACAGAGTTGTGACAATCTTTAAACGACAAAGAGAGAAAGGTTCCCATTTTAATTTTCAACCCCTTTTAGCATTTTTTAACTTCTGGTTTCCTGCCTTACCGCGAAATCTAAACCTATCTATTTGTATGCATGCTTTAAAGAGAACAAAATTCGCATAGAATAAGTGAACTATACATGACTTTTAAAAACATTTAGTACTTGTATGATTTCCTAGGTCAACGTTGGTTAATTATTTAAAAAATAATTATAAGATATATGAAGGCGTTATTTTGGTCAAACCATACGTGACAAATGATTTTGTTTTAGTTCCCACATTACTAACTTTTTTTTTTCTCTGGAAATTGAATGTTGCAGCGCTACACTGCTTTATCATATACATCATTTTCACTTCTTATTTCTGATATAACAGTTTTTGAATAACCGTCTGTCAATATTGAGTCTGTATGATCATAAACATCGTTATCAAGTTGCAGTTTTCTTCCTCCAAAGTTGGAACTATCGTATGTTGGGTCATTTTCGTTACGAATTCCTGCATGGCTGTCATATAAATTTTCCTTTGATTCTATTTCTCGTTTCGATACACCATTTAATCGATCATATTTTCCGTACGATGTTTCAGCATAAGTTTCGTCAAAATTTTGTAATTTAGAATCCGTTTTTTTAATTTTGTTAACGACTGCATACGTGTTGGTAGAATTGATTGAAGCTAACCCATAGGATTCGTTAGATGTCGGCGTTACACTTGTTCTCACTGCCGGATTTCCTGAATGCTCACAGACTGCTGTTGAGAATTGGAGTCCTTGCTTATCCGTATTAGTCGTTTTGAAAAATCCACATGATCTTAAAATATAACAAGTAAAGTTCTTGTATAATCTGTGAAATAAACAGAAGATACTAATAGTATATTCAAAACTTTAAGTCGAACACAAACATACAATATTATAAATTAAAAGAGAAATATAATAAGAATATAAAGGAACTTGTCGGAAAGTTCACATTATACTGAAAATAGGGAGTGGGCAACAAAAAACACACACAAACACAACTTTCGGTGCACTCATGTTCTCCGGAAAGGAAAGTATTCTATAGCTTCATATCTATTAAAAAAATTGTTTCAATTATGAATTATTCCTTCATATTTTAAAACAAAATTATACGAAATGAGCGAAGTATTACAAAAGTAGTTAAAACACTAAGATAAAAGGAAACGAATAGGCGAAGTTAAAAGGTCTTAAAGACAAGATGATGTTCATTTGCCTATGTCAAGTATAAAAACTCTTCAGTTTTTATCTTTTGTAATCTATCAATGCTATGGTCATATTGTTGTCTTCTTAACCATGAACCTATATTCAAACGTAGCGGACCAGGTGCACATATCAACCGTAGAACGATTAAACATACGTTTACAGTTTCATCTTCCACTGTCAAGAATAATTCAAAACCGCGAATAAATTCAAATGAATAAGTTTTATCTACTATTATTACATGAAATGCATCGTTAGTAATCTGAACTTTAAATACAGAAATGATAGAATAACAATTATTACAGTGACTATAGCATATCTGTGAAGCATTAACATTTCTTAACCTGCATACTTTATTAAGCTGTCAATAGGCTTATCGTTTCCTGCTATGCAAGTATTACCTGCAATGCAAATTCACACTTAGTAAAAAATGTCCTAATCGGGAAAGGACACCATCAACAAAACGGACAAAAATCACTTGATTAATATTTTTTTTCAATTCTGTTGATATTCGAATATCATCAATATCACATTTCGAAAATCATTTAGAGATAAATGAAAGGGTTAATGATGCGCCCATTTCAAGGATAAAACACACAATTAAAGCTCCGAAATACGTAATGATGTGTTCGTACCTACCGATAAATCAGCCAGCAATGTAGCAGAGGTATGTCGTAAATGCTACATCGAAGATCTTCTACATTGAAATGCGTGCTCCACGGAGGGTCAAATAAAAGACCATGCTTAAAGCCTTCTTCTGACACTTAAAGTCCCAACCATATTTGTATGACGTATATACTACATTATAGTTCTTAAGTATGAAAAAGCTCATCACAGACACCAGGATTAGAATTTTGTACGCCAGACGAGCGTTTCGTCTGAAAACGACTCATCAGTTACACTCTATTCAAAAAGGTTGACTTGCCAAATGAAGTATGAAATTATACATTTTCTACATTGAAAGCATTGCGCTTTACAGAGGAACAAATGGTAGATAAGCATATCATCACCTCATCTTTCCTTATGGTCCCTCGCATCGTTTAAAAGTCCATTATATGTAATTGCTACCTCAACTACTCAACATATTCTACTGCTTATCATCTATTCCTTTAACTAATCCCCTTACTACATATATAAAACTTTAAACTGTTATAAAAAAAATTATAGAAAAAATTGAGTGATAAAAAATCTTTGGAATTTTATGTCAAATGATGTGCTAGTGACAGTACTTTCAATTCTGTATGATTTTTTTTCAACTCTCTACATTACACTACCTAGCAATCGTAACAAAAAGAAGGGTTTCTTATTGAATTGAACGGACCTTTGAAACATCTGATTAAAGTTAATTTTTCTACAAGTTTTACAAGACTTTTTTGAAATGAAAATTGTACATGTGCTAAATAAGCGTACTGGTTTTGTGATGAGATTTTTCATTTTTTTTCTTGACAACATGTATGCACGTTTTAGCATGTACATGTTGTTAACTGGTTGCATGTATTCCTATGGAAACTTATTGTGTCGCTTAAATAGCAAACTTTTTTCTATATTCTTATGAATCACAGTTTTTCGCCGACATATGTTACAATCCGTATTAGATCCATTTAATTCAGATTTACTTCATAAGACGTTTTCTATTGGTTAAGTTGTAGCTATCCTTTCGAACATTCTATTTTAAGATACAAACAAAATAATGTGTGCTACAATTTATTTTACGTTTTTCAAAGATTGCCTGGAATGGAAGGATTATCCGCCAAATACACTTTCCCTCAATCAATTTATCACGATTGGAAATAGGCTCAATCGGTAAAATTACAGATCAAACGTTTATTCAGGAATCTTAACATCTAAGACTGAAAAAAACTTATTGCTTGTGAGATAAGACACGTAGTCCTTGGACATTATACAAATTTTTCACTTCAATGCATCACATTATATACATGTAATAATTCTGAACATCCACATAAACAAGGCATAATCGAAAGCAATCCTTATAAAATAATTATCCAAAGAAGAACTATCATTCTTCAATAGGACCAATCGTGTCATAAAGACCAGTAAATTGTTTTTCGTGACATCACGACGAGATTCAATTTGTCTGAACAAAATAAGTGGAGAATGTATACAAAAGGAAATAATTAGATTAAAGTGTCTACATTTATTATATACTACTAATAGTTAACGAGGCCGGGATAAGGTACCGGTATTTGATGTATCAACTTACAAATGTCAAAATTACCAATAATGTATGATTTACTATGGAAAACAAAAATGAATATTCAAAAGTAAATAGGTACGTCATATCCTAGAAAAATATTTACCAAAACAAACTATATACATCGACAAGCTCTGCATGGACGATAAACAATAATGTTTTGGGAAATAAGTGCGACCTGCACCTGGGTCGCAATTCCGAACATTTTGAAATAGGAGAAATCCGTAGCTTTATGGTCCGCAAATAGTAGAACAATATCATAAGTACCTAAGAGCTACGGTTCCGCAGCTAAATAATAATAATATGTTTTGTTTTCTATATTAATAATAAAATTATTCTTAGAATAGTATTAATAACATTGATGATGATGATAATAATGATAATAAATACACTGAGGTCTATTTGGCTTTGTTACAACATATCATATGAAATTATTTTGTCCTGGTTAAAATACATATTTGGTTTTGCTACTCTGATAGGGTTCTTTTCAATTTGCTCTCCAACTTCATATTATTGTGGTTTCAAACATTCAATCTCGAGGGCACCTGATGAAAATTATTCCGGAAACACAAGCGCTGTGCATAGAAATCACATCAGGTTTTGTAGATACATCTTTACTGTACACTTCACATTTATCAATTTTTAGTTTATATTTGAGTTAAAAAAAGGCTAAGTAAGATATATATTAACAGTTAACAAATATACCTTTTTTTTTAAATCTGATATATATAAACATTTAATTATCATAGATGAACTATTAAAACAATCAATAGATACTTACTTTTCATGCAGACAAACCAATTCAGTCTTGATGTACAGCTTTCTTGTGAAATTTGTAAATCTTTAATTTCTGTTACAGATATATTTGCCGATAAGCATCAAACAGAGATCCTGCTATCATTTCCTACGAAAATCATGAATTCCTTTTCAAAGCAATATACATAATATGATAACGCAAGGTAGTAGACAAATATGAAATTTCAAATAAAACATACATAGTTACCTGTTATTTCAAACATAATTCAACAATTTCCGTAATAGAAAAATAAATGTGATTTTCGAGTATTTATTTAAATGACACCAGTAACTAGATTCTTTCAACGCGGTCTAATGTACGGTAACACATTCCATTATCGGAATAACAAGATACAATTGACATTCTCGCATTTAAAGTTCCCTCTGTGTTACAATGTGAAAAAAAAACTGTTTCAAGGATCGTTGCCAAACAAAAATATTAAAAACAACTCAATTCAAATCTGAGAAATATGTATTTGTACGTTTGATCAACTGCAATATTTTTTTGTAGAAATTAAAAATACTAAAACACTTGCAACTGCATTTGAAACCCATAACTAACCGGAAAGTTTAAACATCCGACAGTACAGTACGCTTTACTGACAAGTTAAGTCGTATGTTGTATGAAGGCATGTCATAATTTTGGGTTCGTTTCTGAAAAAATCTTCTCTTTTTTTCATGTCGAAGTAAGATTTGTACAAGTGACCTGGTATATGACTGAATGTCAATTCTATTATTGATGACATACACAATTTTTCGATACATCGTCCGATCAAACAAATATATTACCAAGCACCAATGCACTTATTGAGCTGTAACTTAATATACACAATTATTTTGAAAATTCATAACAATAACTAAATATCTACAGCTTGGAGCCAAACGAACTTCACCATGTTACATATAACATATTCAGAATTTTTTTTTCATGCACTTCATGCTTTGGTCATTAATGTATATGATCACAATAGTTATTGGTAAATATGATTAAGACCACATCTCAAAAACACGATAACAAATTAATTATAAAAAAAAATCATCATTTTACAGAAGTGAGGATGCCTTTCTCAAAGGTATATGTAACTCTCCATAAAATGCTTTTGTATTCAAACTTATAAGTATAATGAGTTTATTATCAACTGAATTAGAACATAGCATTTGGAATAATCCCGTCTCCTTACAACGTTTATGACTATGTTTGATTTTCTTTACCTTCGTGTTGCTCAATCGTATTGTATTGTTTTAATGACTTTCTTTTGACTACGGAAAAGTGTGTCGATTATAGAGTTATGGTCGTTAAATGTCCTGTTGCTATCTTTGTATTGTCCATGATATACATAGGAATCTGTTGTTCAGTGGTTGTCGTTTGTTGATGGGGTTTATAAGTATTTCTCGTTTCTCGTATTTATATTGATTAAACCGTTCGTTTTCTTTTACACTAGTCATTTTGGGGCCCTTTATAGCTTGCTGTTCGGTGTGACCAAAAGCTCTGTGTTGAAGGCCGTACTTTGACCTATAATTGTTTACTTTTTGCAGATTGGGACTTGGATGGAGAGTTGTCTCATTGGCACTCATACCACATCTTTTTATTTCTATATAATACGATTTTTTAAAAATCTTTGAACATAATTGATGCATTCACATAATGTCAATATACAATGTTGACAACATCAATTGATATTTGATTATTACCAGGCGAGTGAGTATCATCCATCGCGGTAATGTGATAATACAAGTCAAAGAAAAATTTCAAATAACAAAAACGTTAAAATTTCACCTCCTGGAATCTCTACTTCTATATTTTCACGGAAAATATTTGTCCATATTCTTTTCCAGAGGGTCCAGTACATACAACCGCTAGAATGCATGAGCAACATTTGTCTATTCTTGCAGTTTTCCAAATGAGTCGAATAAGGCAATCCCCAGTATTCACTAATTGATGAGGCGAGTCCATCTTCTGAAATTTTAAAATTCGAACGATGACACCTCATTCAATCTTTTAATGTAAACATCTCCGAAGAACAATGACAACAAAACTTTTCAAATAAAGTACTCCCAAAGTGCTTTTCGATTTATTTTAAGAAGAAACACTCCATGCTGACCAAGTTATCTTCTAGATTAATAAATACGGGAAAATATATACATTCATATAAATGTAAGATGCATGCATTACATCAATTGGTATTAAATTACATATATTACCAAATAAAGTTAAACAAAATTATACTTGTCAAGAGATTGTACAGTTTTATGATCTCTACGTATTAAAATGTAATTGCTATACAAATAATTCAACACTCATGTCGGGCAGATTGTAATTGATGCACGTTTCTCGAATATGTCTGACGAATTTGTCCGTCGGTACCCTATGATTGAATTGCCAGTTGACTTAAGTTGCATCTATACATTTTTATTATTTCTATTTACTATCAAGCTCCAAATATAACGTTTTGTATTCTAAATAAGTGATTGTACTGAAATTACCTCAGCAGATAAGTCTGCAAATTAACCGAATGATTAAAAATGACCTTATCATTGATTGTCATGTTTCTTTAGTGCTGTTCAGATCAAAATTGATTTACTAACGAATACACACTATGTACCGTTCCTTTATTGAATAAAATGTATGCTTATTATACAAAATGAACTTTCGTTATTTTGAAAATTGCTAATAAATCAATGAATAATATCTAATTGGAAAAACAACCGAGACGTAGTTTCATCGAGAATTGAATAAAGTCAGGAAAACACGAGACTAATCAAAACAACCATGATGTTAAGATAAATTTTAACTGTAATACATGTCCTGTTACCTTAATTATAGACAAAGTTTATATTGCGTATCAATTTTAATGTATGTGTGTATAGATTGTGATATTGTAATATGAAAAAGAAAATAGGTGACAAAAACATTTTAAATTTGTATTCAAAAGATAAACTTTCAATGGCAATTGTATCTTTTCATTACAATTAAAGAAGTAGCTATAAATGATAACATAAATCTTGTGTTGAAGTGAAGCAGATAAATTTTCATGAGAACGTATTCAACATCAAACTGCTTCATTGATGAGTATACTGTTACAACTAAAATACTCATCTTCGATGTGTTCATATTAACCAAATATTGAACTCTGTTATTTCTGATATTTTGTTCAGGTTAAGTTGATTCATTTTTGACATATTTCATCTTTCCTATTGTTAACTTCTCATGTTTCAGCATTTACAAACCATCGGCCGAATTATATGGCGTTTACATATCTTAATTTTTACTTTACGCCAGTGCATGTTGGTTTTATATTCTGTTCATTTACAGGGGCGTACTTCTGACACACAACCATACCAAAAGACTTAAGAACGACTGACAACAACGTTACATAATCTTTCGGTTACCATCAAGAATTGGTTGATCAATTCGATGTGTTTGTGTCACAACCAATTGGTGACATGTTTTTCGATTATGTCCTATAACATTTAGACTAAGTATGATTTTGCATGGCAGTTGGTGTAAAAATAGGTGATCGCACCAAACCTTGCTGATTTTTGAGTTCATGTAATTCATTCAGATTTTGCTTTTACTTCAATCGATTAGCTCTGATATGAACGGACAATGTATGACAACACTTGCAATATACTGTTGCCTCTCATTTTTAAAAGTCGAAACATTTGTATTACATGTAAAACAATAGGTAGGAAATTTCTCCAAGTTACAAAAACTTATCTGTGAATAGCATGTATTGTAAATTATGGCCATTAATCTGTAACACAAGTACAATAATTTCGGTGTGAAACGGTCCTTTTGTTGTCTTATTCGATTAGATTTTCCTTTTATACTCTCAGACGAAGTCATACGAAGGATTAAACATACATTATAGATTTGCCAGATCGTGTAAAATGTGCATTCATGATATTAGGAAAAGCCCCCTTTGGGCTGGAGGCGTTTTCATATTGTTTAATAACTATATTAATATGTAGGACTCTAAACCGCGATGGTTCTCCGAACCGCGATGGTCACGCTATTGTGTTTTTGTTTGACGCTGACGTGCGTTTTTTATCACGCTGAAGAGGCATTGTTACACTAACTTGTTGATATCTAAGCCTAAATGCGATTATGGTAACGCGGAAGTGCGATGGACTACATAAACTATGTCCAATGCTTTCATGTCGATGTAGAATTCAATTTGTTTGATAAAAGCAGATTTTTTTTGTTTTGTAGTTAACAAGGCGCATTTACAATTTTAGTACTACGGGACAAGGTGTGTGATTGGATTTGTCGAGATGGCGAATTTGTTCTTCTACAGCGATTTATGTTTCTTTTAAATTTACTTTAAGGTTCTTTTTACACGTACGATAAAACATGGCTTTTTCTAAATACATTACATTTGGTAAAACAATTCAAACGAGAAAACAAACGGCCTGATTTATGTACAAAATTTTCAATTAACAAAAATACAAGTATGACAAGCAGCAACAAACGACAACCACTGAATTAATAGTTCCGGACTTGGGACAAGCACAAACAGAATGTGGCGGCTCCCTAACCTGGGACAGTGAAGTTATAGTACAACATAAGAACAAACTATGAAATCAGTTGTAAAGGTCTCAACTCATCAGATTGATACAAAACAGAAAACATCTAACAAAAACACAGACCGGATATCTATACATCCCAACGACAAAAAAGACACTAGGTACAGATCTTAGAGTACTCGCAGTTACTGACATATAGTTCAAAGCCAATAATAAATAATTAAAAATCATGCATTTACGACTAAAATATTAATTAATACACATCCAACATGGATTTAGTGTAAAGACGTCATTGACAGACAGAGAAAAACGACCTAATGCGATGCCAAGATTAACCAAGCTCTGTTCTTTACCTGGGAATACATTACATCAAAATTTCGAGGATTGCAACATAATTCCATAATGCAGTCCAAATAATAATTGCATATTGTTATTCTAAACTGTTTCCCAAAATTGATCGCCCTGAAGATCATTTTAAACATTTTATATAAATCAAAAATGTCAAGAAAGGTTTTGATTTTGTGAATATTGCCGGTATTTTAATGATCATTCCGTTAAAGAACAAATTCCTGGCTTTTTTGAACGCCCTCTTATTTGTTATGTTTACTTAAAATCTAATACCCGGAAATATGTGTTTAATTATAGGGAAGTGTGTGAAGATGTTAATAACAGTGGCAATTCACCTACGTCATGAAATTGTAGTAATACAGAATACATTTATGGACCCAGATCCCATGTTGTAACAGGAGATCTCAACATCGTTCATCACCGAAAGTTCAAATCATTCCTCAGTTATTGACCCCCCCCCCCCCATTTTCCCGTCAATTATTAATTGGAATGAGTGTGGTAACATCCTCCACGACTCACTCCGTACTTACTGCTCGAAATGGATAACATGAGAAAAAGCTGACAAAAAATCCTTAGATTCTTTTCATAATTCAGTAATGAACATAGTTGATATACGTATAAAACATTTTAGAGAACATAAAATTGAGAATGAAAATGGGGAATGTGTCAAACAGACAACAACCCGATCATAGAGCAGACAACAGCCCAAGGCCACCAATGGGTCTTCAATGCAGCGAGAAACTCCCGCACCCGGAGGCTTCCTTCAGATGGCCCCTAAACAAATATGTATACTTGTTCAGTGATAATGGACGTCATACTAAACTCCAAATTATACACAAGAAACTAAAATTAAATATGATACAAGACTAACAAAGGCCAGAGGCTCCCGACTTGGGACAGGCGCAAAACTGCATGTTACTCCTAACAACAACCATAATAACCCTATTTCTCGTATCAAACATAAACTAAACGAAATCGCCAAAGAATTTGTTTTTGTCCCGGCTGATACGACTGCTTATAATATCATTAGTGTTTGATGTAAATTTTACATTGAAGTTCTGCAAAAGGAAATCACGAATTCACTCACATTCCAACTAACTCCATTTTCGGAAAATGACATCTGTAACAAACATAAACTTTAAGCTACCTCTTTACAAGCAGAACCAAATACAATGAAAGTTCCAACTTAATACTGGCTTCCGAAGCTGGACAAAACACCTTACAAATAAAGATTTATTTCGTCTTCAGGCCTTTGTTCCACTACTTAATTGTCTATTCTACTTACTAGTACACTTGGTACAATCGAAAACATTACTTTTATAGTGTCAAATATTCGTTGGAAGTACGTACTTGATAAATTGCATGCTTTTATGTTGGTGATTTAGAATCTTTTCAAAGTACCCTATACACCACTTTGCCTAATAATCAAAATTCACACACTTAATTAAATAAACACTTAAATAGTCGGAATGCAAGGTTTTATGTTCAAACTCTTGTAGGTCATGTTTTAGTAACAACAAACAAAAGAACTATGTCAATTTGAACAGCTTTGATGCGATAACTGACCTTGAATTTTTACTAGATATCATTTTTGTTCGCTATGGAGATTCCGTATATCGTCAAGTTATCGAATTCCAATGGAGACTTACTGTGCACCACTTATTGTGGACCTGTTTCTGTATTGTGATGAATTACAATTTATGACTAAAATCAGCAAAGACCCATCGAAACAACATCTGATACAAAATTTAATAACACTTTTAGATATTTGGACGATATATTAGTTCTCAATAATGACGACTTCTGACTATACACTAAAGAGATTTATCCCACTGAACTGACTTTAAATAAAGCTCATACTAACAATGGGCATTGCCCTTTCCTGGATCTTGATATTTGTATCTTTAACGGGAAGCTAAATACACATATTTACGATAAAAGAGATGATTTTTTATTTCCTATTGTTAATTATCCATTGTTAGATGGTGAAGTTCCCTTGTCACCCTCGCATGGTGTTTATATATCTCAACTTGTTCGATTCGCTCGTGTATGTAACAACGTATTTGATTTTAAGTAAAGAAATCTCTGTTTTACTGAAAAATTATTACACCAGGGTTTTCGATATCACAAACTAGTCAAAACATTTACCGAATTTTATCATTGATAAAAGGGCACCATTCGTAAATATAAATAAACATGCAGACATCTTATACGTTCAGGTATTTCACAGCTATCCTTTTATGGTAATATTCTATACAAAGCAGAAAAATTGCGGCATTCACCTCAAAAGCTAACCAAAACTTTAAACAGACTTATTCACAAGGTATACAGTTATGATATTGTTGTTAGGTCATTAAACATGGCATATTTTGGTATTAATATAAATTCACTCATAGGGTCTTTGCATTGGAAATAAACACAGTTATTCTAAAACCAGTTGTTGGCATGATACGGTTTATGTTCTTCTCATATTCTATGATGGTATGATACTTAACTCCTAATAAGAGGGATTGTGCTTGATTTTCATATGATCAAGACATACTCTTTCAATCAGTTTAATTGAGGTCTGGAGCTGGCATGTCAGTAACTGGTAGTAGTACTTGGTTAATTTATGTATCATTGTCATGTTGCTTAGTTTCTTTTGTTACCTATTCAGACATCGGACTCGGACTTCTTTTGAACTGGGTTTTTATGTGCGTTTTGCTGTGTGTGTTTATTCTACATTGGCTAGAGGTAAAGGGGGAGGGTTGGAATCTCACAAAACATGTTAAACCCCGCTGCATTTTTGCGCCGGTCCCAATTCAGGAGCCTGTGGCCTTTGTTAGTCCTGTATTTTTTTTTTTTTTATTTTTTTTTAGTTTATTTAAATGTTTTAGAATTTAGTGTGACATCCATTTTCACTTAACTAGTATACATTTTGTTAAGGGGCCCGCTGAAGCCCGCCTAAGAGTGCGGGATTTTCCTGCTGTGTTGAAGACCCATTGGTTGCCTTGGGCTGTTTCTACTCTTTCGTCGGGTTGTTGTCTTTTTGAAATATTCCCAAATTTCTATTCTCAATTTTATCGACAGATTGTAGAGCCATGAACGTGCATTTGTTTTTTAAAATAATAAGATTGATTTTAATTTACTGATAACAAAACCAATGTTTATACCAATAATGCAATATTCAAAGATCTAATGACAGTGTTGAATTGGTAACCTTTTATGATAATTTTATCAAAAGTATCGATAAGTTTATCTTAATCTTAGCTAAATTTCCGGGCTCGGTAAACAACATCTTTGTAAAATAATTAATAACTTATTTTTATGCAAATGACTGAAATCTTTAGCTTTTATTCTTATTTAACTCTTGCCAATCCCTTTTGGGAGCCTTTTCACTAGATCCTTTGTTGTGTGGCCATTGGTAAAATTCTAACCAACACGTCACAGTTTTACACATTCTTGCTTATCAACACGATCGATAAACAAGATTTTATTTGGGATTTTATCAATTTTCCCTCCCCATTTTCAACTCCTCTTTTTCTAATTTTTTTTTTTTTTTATTTACTGGGTGAGTTAATTTGTTTGTTATGACATTTTTTGGTTTGTGAACATAACTTTTTCTGACCATTAATGTCGCATGTGCTACTATTAGTGTTTGTTTTGTTTTATATTGACTTTTTTACCCCTTTCTATGCCAAAGTGTTGTATTATGTAAAATGTTTTTATTTTATTCTCATTTGATTTATACATTGCCCATATAATGTCAATAAGGGCTTCTCAAATAGTTCTTACAATTACTTCTTATCAGATTGTTTGTTTCGGTTGTAGGAGGATTGCATAACATATCCTTCCTAATTTATTCAAGAAGCTCCTCTTTGATTTTTTAATTTTTGAGAGTTCCTGTTTACTATAAATCCAGCATAGTAGTAACCAAATGTGAATATTGGTACCTCAATATAATTTACTGGTATCGAATTTCAAAAATATCAAATATGAACATTAAAGTATAAGACACATGTTATCATTCCATATTGGTGCAATCAATGGACCTTTCCTTAAATATTGTCTCAAACACCCCTTTTTGACACAAAATTTTAATGCCTTTTATGATAAATACTGTAAATTCAGAAATTTTTGCCACGTTTTTTTAAATGCGAATAATGCGACTGTGTGAGTATCGCAATGATAAGAACTCGCGTTCTCATATCAATACATATACAATGTATATTTGCGGAATCGCAATAAATAATTTTGCATTGCTGTCCATTTTTGAAAAATCGCCAAAATAAATGCACGCAATACCTTCTGAATTTACAGTATTAGTTTGAAGATGATCACACCATTTTGATTTCCTTTGATCACTTATCAAAGAAGTATTTCTGAAATATATGTAGTTGTTTGAATCATCTTTATATATAGACTGACTAAATGCAGGGTATGTTTAATTAGCCATATTCCATGTGAACTGTCATTCACGTCGACCATGTACAGTTGATAATCTGTCGATGATATGTGGTCACTTTTGATTAAGTTAAAAGCACAAAAACGACATTGTTGGCAAAAAGTAAAATAACAAAAATACTGAACTCCGAGGAAAATTCTAAACGTATACAAATGTCAAAATCAAAAGCCCAAACACACCAAACGAATGGATAACAACTGTCATATTCCTGACTTTGTACAGGCATTTTCTTGTGTAGAAAATGGTAGATTAAACCTGGTTTTATAGCTAGCTAAACCTCTCACTTGTATAACAGTCGCATACAATTCCATTATATTGACAACGATGTGTGAATAAAACAAACAGACATAATAAGTAAAAATATCAAAAATATGAGTACAGCAGTTAACATTGTTTTATAATTTTAATCACTTTAAAAACAAGAATAGTATATTGACACTTATGAAGACTTTAAGTTGTGATTATTGACGATGAAATTTTGCTTAATATGTCCTTTTCATTTGAACTATGACGGATAGTTGTCTCCTTAGAAATCATACTACGGCTACTTATTTTTATATCAATCTCACAGATTTGTTTGCAAATTCTACGAAAATGATCAGCTTTATAGTCACAGTATCCGAACATACTGCCCAATAATCAAATCTGTAAATTCATTATTTGTTATTTCAATTGCAGTACAACTATCAATGATTATAATAGTTGTGACTTCCATGCAATCAATAAATCTGATAGGTTTTCAATTATTGAATAAACAATCATGTATTATTATGCAAATGCATAAACATGCATGATATAATTTGTACACTTCAATCATTATCATCATAAAATAGTAACATACTAACTGCACAAGCCTTGTATACTTTCACTGTTATTCATGCAATGTGTTTCATATAGTTGTGATATATTTCCTCCATTACACATAAAGGTCATACACATCTCTTCATCTTTGCCACTTCTTCGATAATCACCCTTAAAGACTAATAATCAATAAGAACTTTCCAATTCAGATATAGAATTTTTGTTCAAAAAATACACGGAACATGTGTTTGCTTTTTAAATTCCATTGTAGGGATATTGTTTTGAATTAAAGGCAAAAGTAGTTTACCGACGGTCAAATCTCTTTACGGCATTTAGCATAACAAATCATGCTTTAAGTAAACTTTTGGAAAGATGTCAAAAAAGCAGCAAGACCAGGTGAACAGACATTAAATGACATGCGTATGACTGTTTGTTTGTTTATTCCACATAGATTAGATGTATATGAAGGGGTTTTAGTTTCTTTACTCAACATTGGCTAGAGGTAAAAACAGAGGGCTGAGACCTCACAGAACATTTTTAACCACGCCGTATTTTTGCACCTATCCCAATTCAAGAACCTCTAGCCTTCTTAAGTCTTGTGAGGTTTTTTAATTTTGGTTCATTTCTATGTTTCGGAGTTGAGTGTTGCATTCATTTCGTTGAACAGGTAGACATTATCGGTAAGGAGCCAGCTGAAACTCGCCTGCGGCTGCTGGATAATCTCTCTGCGTTGAAGACCTATTCTTGGCCTTTGGATGTTTTCTGCTCTTTGTTAAGGTTGTTTTCTCTTTGATACACCACCCGTTTCATTCCCTATTCTACGTTAAGCGTCCTCTTGTGTATTTGTTATATATCAGTTACTAACTAATCCTTGAAGATATATATAACTTGGAGATGACGAACAACCTATATAGTTGTGTATAATGCTTTTGGTATTTTACTGTGTATGGTGTAATTCTGTTTCATGAAGAGATACACATTTGTTTTACATTACGATGTGCATGATGAGCTCTGACATTCGTATATATATTATCTGGTTTTCATGTACCTAAAGTTGTCTCTGAACAGTCAGAATGATTAGTATTCAAAATGAACAAACAAACAAGTTTCCATACGATCGTTTGATATCGCAATCACAAATACGTAGTTGTATTTGTTTTGTCTAACCTGATTTCAGTTAATTTTAATAAAGACTCACCCTTGTGAACTAATACTGCTTGAGAATCGTTGTATTTTGTGCACTTATCTAAACTTAGCCATGATCTAAAGTTAATATTCTCTTTTAAATGATTTAGACAAATGCATTCTTGCAGATTTTCCTAAAACAATACAATAACATATATCAATTGAAAAGAATACTCCAACGCAGATATTCTTTGTAAAATACGTTGTAAGTGTCAACATAAACAAGTCATTTACTGGTGGAAAGTTCGTTTTCTTTTGCATTTTCGCTACAAATAATATTGATGTGTATTCTATCTAAAAAATGATCGAATATTTTATAATTTACCTCACCATACGATTCTGATGTAGTCAAAATGAATATATATTGTTAAATGACATTTACAGTACCAATTTCATTCCAGAAAATGCACATATCGACAAATAATATTGTCTCTTCAGTGATAAACAAGGCCAACTACCTAGTACAAATGTAAGAGGTCAGATACAACCAAAATGGACCAAAGGTTAGTCCAAATCCAAACTAAAAATCCGAGGTATGCATTAATGCGATACATTTCTAAATTCGAAAGGATTTTGAAAACAATCAAATTATTTTATTTACCTTATAACTAAAATAATTCGTATTATTACATTTCCATAAGCATAATCCGGTTGATGACTCAAAAACTATGTCTCTTTGCTCTGGCAACTGGTAACATCCTACAATAAGATGATTTTAATAAAGTGCATATTACAACGGTCATATTAATTAATTAATAGTGTTGTCATTGCATCTAGCTGGTTTCAATATATTGTTCAGTTACTGACTCATATGCATGAATTTGTGTCCCCATCGGAACTCGTTTTCGGGGGACGTAGAAAACTGGGAGTCCGTTTGTCCGTGCGTCGGTGCATCTATCCGTCTGGATTTGTTTTAGGGCTCTCACATGTACAATTCTTTACAGGTTTTATTAAACTTATATCATAGGTTCATATCAGAAAAGTCTCGGAAAAATTGAAAAATGAGTGAAGATCAACTATTCTTTAATGAATTATGCCCCTTTTTTCGTTGTCTTAGGTACGCACGGAATATTTAAAATTATAATCTAGCATTACTCTATAATTTGGAAGCAACACTATGTGATTAAGTTTGGGAACACTGTTTTATCAATTGTTGTAGGCTGTTGTTAGCTGTTAGCTTCTCTGTTATCAGGTTTTTTGAAAGACTGTTATAAATTGTCAGAATTTAAAATACTGAACTGAAAAAGGAAAACAAAGTCAAAAGTCCGTGTTCTTGTTTTTGAAATATAGGCCATTGAAAATTTGGCGGAAAAAAATGTTCACTAGATTTGTCATTCATTTAACGTTTGCACCTTTTTTCAAATACTATGAAAAAGTAGATTTTGTAAAAATGGCGATTGAATTATATGTTATACAATTATGTGCAAAATCATTTACAAATAAGGAACGTATCTCACTCATGCAAAGCTCTGAATCCTAATCCATTAGGCTATTATTGTTGGTCGTTTTTAGGTTTCATTACCTCTTCAACGTTTGATAAAGAAGTGGGTTTTTTCCGTCCTCGAGCAACAATGAAAATACATTAAATCTCGGAATGCTCTTCGGATGTAGAAAATTTGGTTATATCAATCAGTGGATCAGTGCCTATGAAGATGGACACCTACTTCCAGAGGATACAATTTATCCATTCTTTCAGTACGTCGATACTGATAGGACAATACGGATATTAGTATATTAAAATTGCTGTTATCAATAGGAAAATAAATTTAACAAGTGTATTGATGTCCTTCTAGAGAATCTCTGATTCCTGCATTGTCCTGATCTGTTTTTTTCTGTTCTATTCCATCAGCTATTTGGAATCTGTACATGTATTAGGTTTTTCAATTATAAAATTATATTGCCTTAACCACACGAAACAGTAAAAGTGGTATCGTTTAAAGTCAAATTTTCACAAACATCTGAGACAGGGTGGTAAAGGTCAGTTTTCATTGAATAATTAGGTTCTTGAAATTCAAAAATCTCCGACAAAAAAAAAACAGTATATCAAATTTAACAATTTGACGTCTGAGTCTATTAAACTATCAAGTAGGTTTTTATCGTAGAGAATAGTTTGTGCGATTCAAAAAGCCCAACCTGTTCGCAAGTTTAATATTTTTGTCTGACTCTTATCTTCCATAAGGATCAAGTTTTACGTGAAAATATTTGTTCGGCTTTATATCGCGAAATTAGCAAATGATAAACCTGTCGCAAAAACGTCCCACTTAACAGTACACTGTTTAAAGTATATTATTTAATATTCTTTATTATAACGTCAGTATTAAATTAAAAACATATAAATGGCATATGGAAGTTCGTTGGCTAATTAATAAGTTAACTAACTAATATCTGAATATAGTGAATTGGTTTAAAGAAATTTCTGAAATGGTAGTAACTGATCTCTGTATTATATCATCCTACTGACTTTGAAAATTCAACAACAGGAAGGAAGGTGATCGAGGTAAAAACACAAATTTTGATATTTCTTTACTTTGCCAATAAAATAGTAAAGCGCTTTAGAATTAATGAGATAATTTCACTCAGTTGTTTTTGTGAGGCTTTCTTTAGATTATGGGCTTTTAATGGATTTGAAGGAAAACTGAGTTACATTGTTTGTAATCGTACAATTGATTTGATGACGTTTGTGTGTTTTTCATAAAATGCAGATGCATATTTTAAGCAACGTGTCAAAACAACACCCTAAATTAAGATAGGTTACCACCTGATTCATAGTATCGTATGTCCTTATTTGCGTCTAGTTTTCTTGGCCTTTGGGAAATTCGTCCTTCAAAGTATTCCAAAAAACTATTCTGTGTTGCAGTTTATTTTTTCTTCATAAAATATGTTTCGTGTCTTTGGTATTATGGTAAAACATTTCAGCAAGGTAGAGTTTATATAGTATGAACTATCCAAACATTATTCAACATATCTGACATGTTTTATCAAATTGACGATATAAATTAGTATTTGCAATCAGTTAACCGTATAAAGATATATTAAATGCATACATACCCAAAACTTCCATCCAAGGAGTACGTATTTTGTAAATACCTTTACCTATCCAAAACTGCTTATCAAGTAAAATAGACAGGTTAGTAAGAATCGCCTCATCATGTTCAAGTCCGTCTGTGCCACATTTTGAAGTTGCATTCATCCATGTTAAGCTAATATTGTAATTTTGAACATCTTGACATTGTCCAGTCTTGTCTGTAAGATAAATAAATCAAACAAAATCATTTGGTTTAATGAATTTTAAATAAATAATTTCGTCGAGTTTCTGTATGTTTTACTCGTAAAATGATACAATAGGACGGGCGATATCATTCTATATGTTATACAATTTCAAAATTTATTCAATATTTTAGGTATTTCAGGGCTTAGATTTAATTAATATGTATAAGTAGTATCATTATTGGTAAAAAACCGTATATTGCCCTCCTGATGTCTGTTGATTATTTTGTATTTTTGTCGAATGCTTATTCAGTACAAATACACTCAGTTTCCAAATGTTCAGATTGATATCCTTATATATTCTGCTTTGTACTTCACCAACCCGTTGAGTTGAAGTTGTTGCGCTTGAAAATAATGTTAAAAGTTCTTAATAAAGCATGCCTCCCTTTATATTTGCATTATATGACTTTGCGTCGACCCATACTCCTCTTAGTGTAAGTTTGTAAATTTTATGTTTACCCCATCTTCACTTTAGAGTCCGGAAACATTGCATAAGACTACGAAAGCGGGTAACTATAAAGGTAGTATGCCCAATAAAGTTTATTTCTTATGTTTAGTTATGAAAAGACATAAATAAAGGCAAAGAATAACATGCCACAAATTTCAATGGCAAATGCATGTCCGCCTTTAATTCAAAGTCATTAGAAACCAGTTTCTAGTAATTATATTCTATCAGAAGTAAATGCATGCACATATACTGAACTAAGTCCGTTATACCAGTTTTTTTTACAATTATTACGAATCTATAACATGAAATAGACAAAAAATATTTCATTCTCTGATTGTTGATTTCAAACTACTAGTAATTAACTTTCGAGTTTCGTAACATTGATAGACAACCAACACCAGCACACGGAGCACATGGAAAATAAATAAATTGATAGAACCAAATGATATATATTTGAAATATATTTTTCATGCATTCCTATTTGTTAATTCAACTTTTCCTTAAAGTCATATTGAACTTCAAATTGAAAACAAAGGTTAAATATGTTCTATATACTTCAAGTTTTATGCTATGTACTGCTATTGAATTATTGTTTTACCGTACTCTAACTCTTCGTTATTTTCATGTATACAGTGACCTTAACTGCGAGACATCTCGTTAGAACTTCGGCCACCGATGATCTTCCATCTTTTTGAAAAATAGATGGAAGATCATCAAGTGTAGACATAGAACGATGTTAAATTTGTTGCTTTCTATTCATATGAATGACATAAGGCCTATGAATACTTTGTGTTATATCAGCTATAGTCATGATTTTAATAAAGGACGTTTGAAATATGTTCCCTTGTCCCGTAATATTGTCTTTTACACCTAGAGGATACGCTGTCTGTTGTCATTAAATCCAATACGCTAGGATTTGTTTTTATCTGATTGACCTTGTTGTTTCTGAACTAGAATTCAGTATAGTTTTGATAACGCAGGATGGTTTATATCACAGAACTGTAAACTTGCATCAATCAACACTTACCATATTGTATACTATTTTTATTAAAATTATATGCTAGATTAGGATAGTAAGCAGTAAATTTTGCAACCCAGGATTTAAAAAAGGACAAAAATATTGGTACACAATGACTACAAACTAAAAAATGTTGTCCGTTTCAATTTGGAGTGCTAACATTTTTTTTTTATTCAGATACGGAACCGCCACAAAAATAAGTATTTCATCTCAGAATGGTTCGGATTACAAAATGCACCAATCAACATTGGCCTTATTTGTTGTTTTTATTGGAAAGTATACGTTTTTAATATCAATCCGTAAATTTGTAATTGTATAATTTGTAATTGGATTCTATATTATACCTCTTGTAAATGACAGGATTCTAAATAGGTTTCAATTTGACGTAACTTGAGTTTAAACTTTTTCCCTTGGTCACCATTTTGGATTAAATAGTAGATTTTTTGTTTTTGATTAACAAAGTAGAAATATGCGGTCCAGATCCGTTAAATGATTAATCGTTACGAAGTAATACCACTAGCAAAGCTAGAAAAACAAACGTTTCTTAACAACTAGTTCTTATGTCTAGAAGTCAGTACAAAAAGTTGAATTTGGGTAATTTATTAAGGAATTTGTATATGTACAAATGTAAATCTGCAACATGGAGACAACAGGGAAAAAAAACAAACTCAAATTGTGTCAATCTAGAACCTATATATTGACCAACTATCCTGACTATGACTTCAACTTTTGTTTGCTTTAATTAAGAGTTTCGACTTAACATTTTATATCACAATGACTAGTTTTGTTTCCTCCGAATGGTTTGTATAACAAAATGGTCATCCGCTTCAATCAACACTGGCCATAGTTGTTCTTTATATTGGCAATTGTTTGCCGGTATCGTAAATTAATAAATTTGTTAACATATGGTGGGTTTGTTTAACATAAGATTGATAGCGATGGTTATAAAATATGATTTTCATCAATAAAGAGTGTCAACATCTCCTGTTTTTTTTTCAAATACTAAACAGTCACTAAAAATCAGTAGTTGTATTATCTGTGATTGGCTTGAATGCCATTTGATTAGGGACTTTCCTTTTTGAATTTTCCTCGGAGTTTAGTATTTTTGTGATTTTACTTTTTGTTTGTACTACACAAATATCCGCTCGCCCTATATATAAGTATTACTTATTTTCGTTACACAATAGTGTATGATTTCTAATAATAATATTAATTAATTGTATTGTCAACTAAAACTGTGAATCATAAGGGCTACTTTAATTTGCGTCATTTGGAACAGTTCTATCATTGAAGCGATTCTAAAAATTCAAACGTAAAATCGATTAAGACAGTTCTACCTTAGAGCAGGTTATGACAAGTCTATCATAGGACTGGTACTGACAGATCTACACTACAATAGTTTTGGACTATTCTCAAATACAGCTGATTCTGATAGTTCTACCTTAGAACAGTTCTAGTGTAGGATTTCCATAGAGTAGTTTAGAACAGTTCTGTGACAGACTATTTTAAGAGTCATTTCAAAAGATTATAACTTAACCAAATTGAAATTATTTTCGAAATGTTGTATGCAAATATCCCCAATACAACTATAAAGATAGGAATAAAGTTATTTTTCTTATGAAATTACATCTGTTACAACAATTACCTGACGCCTTTCGTATTTAATTAAATTTGGAAAGAGAACACTATTTTGATCCTTTTTAGAACATGTAAACCCTCTAGGTTCTGAACGATATTGCGCTATCCTAAAATAATACTGCCCTAGGATTCATATCTTAACTTCGATGTTTCCCCGTCTCATAATGAAGTAGAATATTTTTTTAATTGACGTCGGATGTATATGATGTATCAATAATGATGAATATATTCTGTTTTTATACTATACAAAACCATAGGTGGTCCATTGTTATCTACCCAGGGAGGTATAAACAACAAGTAAAATAGCAAAAGTTCCGAACTCCAGGGAAAATTCAAATTTAGAATTCCCTTAACAAATGGCAAAATCAAAAGCTCCAACACATCAAACGAATGGAAAATAACTGTCATGTTACTGCATAATACATGCATTCCCTTTTGTAGAAAACGGTGGATTAAACCTGGTATGATAGCTAGCTATACCTTAAAATGTGTGAGAAAATCAAACAGACATAATAGGTACAAATGTCAAAAATTGGGGTACAGCAGTCAACATTGTGTAATAATCTTCATCACTATAAAACAAACAACAATGTCAACAAAGAAAAACAAAATGGCATATAAACACTCTCTATACAAAACACATAAGCAAACATGAAAGACAAGAATACAAAAAAAGACCATAGCATAATATACTGGTTCTCCGGTAAAGCGATTTTTTTATGACGCTGATTTGTCCCACCGTAACAAAGGAAACTAACGACTTCGAGTTATATACCTGTAGCTTGTTATACTTATATCAGAGATTTTTATATTTCTTTATTATCTATATTTTTATTTTTTATAAAGTTTAGTACTATTGCACTGCGATAGTGATCGTACCGGCCGTCATAATGTTTTCTTCGTAAACCTGTAATTTCCGTTAACGGATAAGAGACCAAAGCAGGACAAAATATTTAACACAACATAGAGTGTGATATAAGTTAAATTTGATTATAAGGTTACCATAAATAATTTTGTTTATAACAATGGTCATTTATTCCAAATTATATCAGTCTTAAAGATAAACAAAGTAGAAAACTGCAGAGATTTGTTAAGCATGTAATCTCCGTGGAATGGTCTATTCCAAACAAACACCAATTTTGAAAATGAATTCTACATCCAACAGATCGATATCGGTGTCAACATTTAATTTTAATACAACTTCTCTCTTCAGATATACGTATTATGTTTTATAAATGACGAAATCATCGAAATGTAACCTCCGTGGGATGTCATCTCCGTTGAAGTGCTTTCTTTCACGTCCGCACTTCTATCGAGTATGGCATGCCAAATAAACATTTTAGATAACTATTACGGATGGCGAGTATATAAATTACAGAACAATAAGTTAAACATACATTGTAATTCCGACGATATAAGAAAACCCATCTAAAAATCTTAATTTATCAATTTTTAAGTGTAACAGAATTGCTTTTTTTCTCAGATCTAGAAAAAAACGATCCGAATGGTTTTATATCAATATTAATGGGAGATGTTCGTTGTTATTCTGCGGTTTACATGTTGTAACGACTATTTTATTAGTTATGTGTGCGTTTCTCTGTGCTGAGTGTTCTTGCGTTTGTGTGTGCTGTATTTCTGTCACGTAGTATTGTCATTTTAGCGATAATTTTTTAACATTGCCATATAAGCAGGAGGTTTGGCTAGCCATAAAACCAGGTTCAACCCACAATTTTTTCTTAAAATGTCCTGTACTAAGTCAGGAATATGGCAGTTGTTTTCAAATAGTTCATTTCTATGTATGTTGGCGATTTTTGTTGCACTTCAGTTTTGCTGTTGTTCCATTGCTCTTATAGTTGATGTGTTTCCCTCGGT